CGTAAAACGATAGTCCGCTCGCGCGCGACGGAGACTTGTGCGCTCGCAGAAAGAAAAAAAATTTTTTTAAGTGATTTCACCATCGAAGAAACGAATTTGCATCTCGTCGTGTGACGGTCGATTTTGATCGTCGTAAAAACGAAATGAAAATAAAATTGCCCTCGAATTAGCTTCCTCCGCGAGAGTGTACGAAACCGGTACTAGTCGGGACGATTTTTCAGAGTTAATTGTCAGCGCGTTATCGATCGGCCGCGACATGTAGCGAGTAGGTAATTATTGTCGAAATGTCGATCGGACGCGTTGCACATACATGCATAGAGCGATCGATCTCCTCAGAGATCGGTAATTTCTCGGAAACGAGCCCGCGAGCCACGAAGACGCAGCGTATCGAGATATCATTAATCACTCGGGACGGCTAATTTGATTATTATTAATTTCGTAAATGCCCCAAGGGGGGGATTACATCAACGTCAAGGCGACGATTGCGATATTTACTGGACATCCGATCGCGGTGATTTGGAAATCAATTGTTTATTTTACTATTAATACTGTATATTAGAATCGCGATGCAAATACGCCGCGCGAAATTTATTAATTGTACAAAAGAAACGTCTCTATATATTATATATATATATATAAATATGTATATATGCATCTATAAGGGATCCGTTCTTTCGACACACAACTTTGAAACCGGCTTTCAATAGCGCTCTATTGAAATATCGGCGGCATCTCTTCGAACGGCTTCTTCATCCGGAGAGAAGCGCCAAGCATCGCGTGTAGTTCTATATTATCGCGAGTGCCGGTCATTAATCAGTATATCGGGCTAATTAATAACGTGTAATGATCCGGTCGGCGGACGGATATCTCGTGATTTCAATGAGCGCCTCTCGCATCGATATCGGTAGCCAATATATAGCGTTCTTTTCTACAAGAAAGTCTCTCCATCCTATATATTCCTCCGTCTCTCGTTTCAATCTTACGGGATTAGCGCGTTAAGGATTATCGCGATACGAACGACAGAGCGGAAAGAGATACTTTTATTATTTTCATTAAGCACGATTAATCGATGTTTTCCCGGACGCGTCATCGCGCTTGATAATTGAATCGTTATGACGTTACTGTTTATTATATCGCGATGATATATTATATATAAATATATTATATGAAAGAAGCGCGCGCGCGTATCGTGGGATTTAAAGTCTACCTGCAAATACGAGCTTTGGCCGTCGGATCGGCTCTGTCCGGACCGGACGTCGAAGCCGATAATCCAGTTTTCAATTTCGAGAATGACGCGTTCTCCGAGTCTGCTTCACTCGCTCGAAGGAGGCACGAAGACCGATGGCAAATAAAAGATACGATTCGCCGATGGACGGAGAAGGAGAGAGATCTCTCTCTCTCTCTCTCTTCTTCTCACGAGACGAGTCGATGTATTACGCCGTCGGGGTGGCAGCGAGGGAGAGCGAAATAAAACGAGCGAGGGAAACGCGAGGTTGAGACGAGCGGAGGAGAAAGAGAGGACTTGACGACGACTGCGAGGAAGGAGATGGAAAAAAGGAGGCAAACGAAGGGGGATATAAAATAGGAAGAAAGGAAGGAGAGGAGAAACGTAGATCGCCGCGAAACTTCAGAAATGTCATATCCGTCAGTGTCCGGAGCTCTGCCTTCTGGAGGCAACCGGTTTCCCGAACGCGCCCGGCAACCGCGGGATGATAAATTATTGTCCGCGCGAGTCCCCGATATGCAATTTACCGGGGGCTCGTCCTTTGCGCGAAGCGCGAGAGGAAGAGAGAGAGAGAGACCTCGCGAGATTAATAATAAATTCACCGCGGATAAAAGGGACTGGAATCGGCCTCAGCTTCCGAGATCGAAGTCCTTCGGAGAGTGTCCCGCGACAGGACTTGGCGAGCTTTTTCAGGGATCTAATCGCTCAGCAATGCGTGCACGATCCTGACCAACCCGGTCGTTCTCTTATACATGCATATATATATATATATATATATATATATATACATGAAGAAACGTTCGCATGCCAAGTCGGGGCGATACTTTGAGAGAGATCTCGCGCGGAAGAAAATAACCCGTTTGATTAAATTCACTATACATCGTCGTATATAAAAATCATTCAAACTGAATACTACCATAATGTTAGTTTCGTTTCACAAAGTCGCCGAATGTTCTCCATTCGCTAATGATTTTTTTTTCCTCTACTCCCTTTCGCCTTCCAAAAAAAAAAGAACCCGCTCGTTTGGAGAACGCTCACCCCCTGCGTTCTCTCGTTTAATAACCATTAGCCGCGCGATGGCCGCCGTATATAGGTGCTGGCGATTTTCGGGGTGTCTCGGCCTTCGCCTCTCGAAAGGGCGAGAGTGTCAAAGATCTAGAGCAGATAGCGGCGCGGCCGCTATATTGATGAGAGGTGGCTCTCCGCGTATCGATTCCGAGGCGGAGGGAGTTCTCCCTTCGCTACGCGCAAGGGTTGATAAGATCCGCCAGATAAGGCATGATTACACACCGCCGCCACCGTATATACCTCCCCGTTTCTCCTCGCTCGTCTCCTTCCATCGCGGACCCTCGCGCTTCATTCCCGAGGTAAACAAGGGTCCGATGTTCGCGCGCATGGGGAAGAAACGGATCGAAGAGAAACCGGATGGTTGTTTTTTAATCCGGGTATATAACGCGACGATTGATGGGAAAAATTGGTAGCGCTCGTCTTTGTATAGAGAAGACGATGCAAGTTGCAGTTGACAGTTGCTCCAGTCTATAATAGTGTATATATCTCTCGATCTTGCGAGCGAACTTTTTCCACGAATGCTCGCTACAATAAACGCGAGCGCATACTCGATCACGCAACGATCCGCGAGCACACGAGTCCCTGAATATATATCGACCCGAGAAGAACGTCGTTGCGAGAAAATCCGGAGAGACACATTTTCTTCTCTCTCTCTCTCTCTGAAATTGGTACTGTCTCAGAACTCATTGTGTGTGTGATGCAATGGGGTACGAGAGGGCGGGACAAAAGAGGGCAATTTCGTGTCCTACACGGGGGACACGCGAGAGAGCTATCCCTCTCGCTCAAAGAAATTTCAATAAGCTCGCTATTATGCGAGGGTAGTGGTTCCCCTGTATTTTGTGCTTTCGCCGACAATGACGCGCGCAGGCAGGTATACAAGTCTCTCCTGCCTTTCCGGGGTGCAGTGTCATCTCTCGAGGGGGGTTAAGTGGTTTGCGAGTATAGGTAGGGGGTGAACGAAAGAGAGCGGAGGGTCAAAGGTGGGCGCCTCTTGTGAAGGAGGAGAAAAGAAACATCTTGCGCGCGCGCGCGCCATCATCAATTCGGCGTTATCTCGGCGATCACCAAAGTGTCTTATCAGCCTCTTAAATAATATATATAATATGACGCGCTGTGAAATTTTGTTCACGCGGGAACGAAACGCATTGATTCTATATTATGATATTAAAAACACATATATACGCGCGAGAGAGTTTAGTTTCGAGATGGGAATTTTCGGGAGTGATAGCCCGTCATTTTCCATTTACCCGTGCGATCGTAATTTCGAAGCCTCGAGACGGCCAAATAGTATCTCTCGTCGTATCGACGTCTAATTTGTTTCGACGAAACGTATATCGCACGATCCACTTGGAATTTACCCGCGGCGCACGGTTTTTCGGTAACAGTATCGTCCATTAACGGTTAAGTGGTTCAGCAGGAAGAGCCAAGAAGGGAGAAAGAGGATAAAAGTGAAAGGTGGATATATGTAAACCGGAGAGAGAAGAGGGTATTACAATACAGATTCTCTCTTCTCAACGGCGATGAGATACCTGTCCTCCTCGCGTTCGCGCGCCGCTTCGGGGAGAAGAAATAAGCCGCAGTCCCCGAGGGATAAAATGGATCCCGCTTCCTTTTTCGTTAAGTGTTTGTGCCACTCTCTCGTACGCGTCGACGAGGGTGTACAGGTGTGTTTTCGAAGCCCGCTCTAGCATGAGCGTCCGCAGGATTTTTTCAACTCTTTTATTTCTTATTTTTTGTTCTTTCTTAATTTTTTTTTAATATTTTTATTCTTTAATATACCTATTAAACATGAAAATAAATTCCAGTGTTTGATTCAAAAGGACTCTAGCCAGATTGGGAGACGTTCTCTCGCGTTAAGCTCTACGCACACATTCTGATTTCCCTGCCCCCTATTCCTCTCGGGGTCACGTCGATCCGACAGGCGAGCGATCGGGAAGGATTTTCGGGTGGGTGAAGGAAAGGTTGATGCGTCACGGTGACCCGCGTCAAGCCCGCGTGGCTTTTTGATTCCGCTCGTAAGCCGACGGATCGAATGCGCTCCCGGTGGATGGAGAGTACACTTCGATAGGATACCACTTTACTCCGTTTTATAATCCTCTTTCTCGCGTGACGCGATTTTTCATCCACAATTTAGTCGGGAAGCGGGTTACTTGTGCGCGTTTATGTGCGATATGAAAATATTTCTCCGCGAATTATTTTGAGGAAATTTTATTGCTGACGCGTATATGTGACAATCTGATCTTTCGACAAACTTGAGATAATCGATCTTGCGTTTCGAGTGTTTAATTGCGATGACATTTTTTTCCTCGTCATTTTTCTAATAACTTTTCCATCTTATAAATGTCACTGAGATAAGAAAACTAAGATAAAGGAAACTTTCTAATGAATGTTTCGATGATCAGCTGATCTAATCTTGACATCAAAAATTGACGGATAACATTTTTGTATACTCTCTATTATTAATACATCAGCTTTATCGTCTGCACCGCGTGTAAATAATATTAGAAAGATATAGAAAGATTTTTCCTTAAATATAATACATGTATAAGATCCTTATCTCTCTCTCTCTCTCTCTCTCTCTTATCATTGTATCTATAAATTTTGCTAATTGTGAGATGTTTCGATTTAACCGTCGAGACGATCGCGAAAACCTGAAAGGCCAGCGTTACGGGTGTGATATCTGTGTCTTCTCTCTTTTCCAAAACTGTCGCTGCAGAGTGCGGCGAGACGGGCAGGCACCAGCTGCGCCAACTGCAAGACGGCGACCACGACTCTCTGGCGAAGGAATCAAGCGGGCGAACCTGTCTGCAACGCTTGCGGACTCTACTACAAGCTGCACAACGTGAGTTTGCACTCGTTGATTATCATTCCACATTAATTGTATCGTCCTATCGACGCGTTATTTCGAGGAAAATAGGAGTCTAGCGAATCTCGAAGATCGATGTACTTTAGGTATAAACAAAAGTTCAAATTTAATTTTTTCAAAATTAGACATCTGAATTTAAAGTTGAATTTTTTTAAATTTATCTTTTTAATATACATGTAATGTCTCGTTTGATTCGCTACGTTCCTATACGACTCTTTAAATAAGATTCGTCGAGTCAACTGAAAGATTCCGATTTTGCGGGTGCGCTTGATGGTGCGTTAATTGGTCGTTAATTATGAAAGAGAAAGTCGCTCTCTAAAGCCTCGGTATAAATAGTCTGTAGCGATTCGGGGGTCTTGAATTAATATGTCCACATTCATGGACAATTGCTTATTAAACAGAACTACGCTTCGCAATATCTTACGTAACGCGCTCGCTAGACAGTTCTTCTGTCAATAATTTATCAAAATAAATTATGAAATACCTCATAAATTATTCAAACATCATATTTCCATTTGCAAAACTTTTGTCGAAGACGTTGTTCGCATAATTGCACTCGCGCACTAAATAATTGAATTATAATTTTGATCATATAAAATTAAATTCCCTATACTACTCTCTTTATATAGAAAGGAATAAAATAAAGATTAAAAAAATGTTTTTCAATTTTCCCTATATTCCTATCGCGGAGTAAGCGCGGGTGGCCGTATGCAAACACACGTACGAAGGTTTTCCGACAATGAAGAGACCCCTAGTGTTGTACCAACAATTAGGATGCTTTCTGGTTTGCCGGACGTGGTCCTTACACACGTACACGAGTCTCCTCTGGAGAGGGTGGAGCGTGCTCAACGGCGTGTGACACCGGAAGTGCCGGAAGCGAAGGGGGACGCGATAGACGTGATCGAAAGAGAGCGAGAGGAAGTGAGAGGCGCGAAAGAACAAAGAGAAAGAATCTTGCTAGTGTCTTTTTTTTTTTTCGTCGGACACAATGTTTCACCTCCCTCGCAATCGACGTGACGGCCGGAGGGATCTTCCCCGTTGTTATGCTGAACATTTCCGCGGAACAGAAATCTAAAAGACGACCGAGAGAAAGACAGCGTGTGGGCGACGGCCTTAATAGGCGAGACACGCGTCGCGACGATCTTCTAGCCGAGGAATTCCGCGAAATTAACGCGTTCACGAGATGAAACGTCGCGCGCCGTCATTCTCGCCGTTGTTTTCCTCGCTCTATCGCTAATAAACGGACTGATTTTCAGAAGGCGGAATATTGTTATCAGCGAAAATGACACTTTAAAAATTTTTATCGATTGAAAAAAATTAATTTGATCTTGAAAAAAGTCTTTCCAAGACGTAAAAAATGTGAAACGCCATCTTTAATTTATCGTACGGAAATCCTAAATACGACGTAAGGAGAACGAGAGATGCGTGTTGATTGCGTTAAAATATCGACGTAATAATTCACGATCGCCTTCCGATCTCGCAGAAAAAGGCGGCGGCGTATCATCGCGACGAGATTAAACGGGCGATAAGAGCGGGAGCGAACGAAGGAAAAAGCTGCGTAAATTCGGACTGGGTCGCACAGTGCGTCGCCTTGTTTCCGGCCGACGGCTATAAGACAGAAAGCCCACTGTGACGGGAGGGAAAGGGACGAGAGAGCATACGTGACGAATGTCCGTCGTTGGCGGTTGCTCGTGCAGAGAAATCGCAAGCCAATTAGCGCGCGCCGCAAATGAATATCCTCTTTCGCCCTCTTTTCCTCGGCCTTATCGGCGATCAGCTTTAGGAGAGATCGCGACTGGAAATCAAGATACGGCCGCGCCAGACGCGGAGAAGACACTGGTGCCTCTGACACACACACGCGGAAGGATAATAAAACGAGGGGGTGAGAGAGCGAGGAAATTACCGAATCTCGGGAGAGACGGAGACCAGCTCTCGCGCATCTCGAAGATCGGGAACATTGAGACGGAAAGGTTGAGCGTAGCACGCGAAAAGTCCATTACAAAGTAGTATAGTGTGTGCGCGCGGTTTCTCACAATTATTACAGCGAATTTTTTGTCGCAAATATTCGTTAGACCCGCGCTTTGAACTTTCGCTTTTGCAGCGAGACTTATGCATTTTCCGTGGTGCTGAGAAGATACGCGATTGCCTGGGTTTTTACATTTCATTATACATTTACAATTCATTATACGTATCCCGCTTATATATACGCGCGGATACGTTCGGTATACCTCGAGATCGTATATTAGAAGAGTCTGTAATGGCGGACTTCCTGTATCCCAAATGCACGCCCGCGGGAACGGGAGCGCAAGCAAGGCAAGACGGACCAGCTTCGCGGAAATGAGAAGTCTTTCTCTCCCTCGCCGTGAGCGGCGACTGATTCCAATCGGGGTCCCTTCCCACGAGCTTCCCCGATTGTTCCCCGCTTCGGAAGAAACACACATTTCCCGAATACCCGCCCGCTTCCGCTTCCTCCGCGCGCGACGAGAATCCGCGGCGAATTTTTCTGGAGAGAAATAGAGAGGAAGAAGTCTCATTCTCTCTCTCTCTTTCGGTGAAAGATAGAAAGAGTCATTTCGCCTGGAAACGTAAAGCCGTAATGGATACTTAATACTGCCGGGAGTTTTGTCAAAAGCGAAACGAGCCGACGAACAAAAAGGCCCGATGTAACGCTCCTCTTTCGTCGAAAGGAGGCAAAAGGTCGAAGAGCCGCCGGTCTTTCGCTTCAATCTTTCTTCTAGCCGGTAAACCAAGTATCGAGTTGCCATTGTGCGTCGTCGAGTACTCTGGACACCCATTGTCAATTTCTCTCCGTCGTGGTGGAATCTAATTCCCTCCGTTCGCGAACTCGTCTTCCGCGAATCGACTGAATTCGATACTTCTGCCACGACCAAATTTCAGATGACGTTTTACTTAGAAATTCATCTCATTGTTTAAAATATTTGTTTCATCTTCCGATGTATTTTTTGGCAACTGCGATTTGGTCTAGATCATGAAATTATAGGGATTATAATTCGCTATATATATATATATATATATATATTTCGATGGAATTTGAAGAGAGACGCTGGAACCAATAAAAGGATGTATATTCCGCGAGTAAATTTCTCATCCTCTTATTCTCCTCGCTGCTTTCGTACAAGACTCGCGTGTCAGTCGAGAATGTACAGTGATTCCTGACACACGCACGCACATATAGTCGCAGTCGTGGTCAACGAGCGATCGGAATAGGCGACTGTCTCCGGTTGACGTTAAGCCGACACATTACAGTCTTAGCGCCGGGGTCGAATCTTTTCTTCCTCGCGAAGGAGACGAAACGGAACGAAGAGACGGACTCTCGTCCCAAACGCGCGAGGATTATCTCGATGAATTAAAAATTGACAGACGTGCAAACTCGAAGAGTCGCGTTAAAAAATCATCATTTCAGAATTCCGAATTCTAGAAATATATTTAATTAACGAGTTATCGACAATTCGCTCGATCACGGAGATTATTTCTCCGTCTCGGATAGTCGTGAAAGTTGTTTCCGGAGTATTTTTGCCTTCGATAGAAGAGAGAAGGCCGCGACGAATCAATCATTTCGGTGGCAGACGTATTTCTCTCTCGCTCTCTCTCTCTCTCACTCTCCTCTCACGAGATCTCCGACAGATCTCGTGACGGGGAAGAAGGAGATGGTCGGGTGGAGAGAACGACAGATCTCCGGCGTCGTTAAGATAGAGCAGACCGATAGCGTTCCATGGCTAAACTCAAACACGACTCCGGGCTCCTCGCTCGAAAATACACGGATTATTCGAGCCAGGCTACCGGGTGCTCGGAATATGGTAATCGTCGCCCGAAAGCCGGAGAGACACGACGGGGTCAACAAGATCACGCCACGTTGCTCGATTCTTTCCTACCTAGATGACATTCCTCTCCGTTCGCACACTGGAAAAGAAATCTTGTCGCGTTAACAAAAATTTTGTTCCGGACCAAACTGAATTACTGGCTGAATCACAGAACTCTTTTTAATGCAACACGATTTTTTTCCAGGGCAGAGTTTAGTTTTTCCAAGGTTCTCCAATTATTTCAAGATTAAAATTACGATTTCTGCTTTTATATTCTCATAATAATTATTTGATTCTTACAATCCATTATTCAACTAATATATAATAATAATAATTAGAATCAACTGTTGCGTGTTCTTCTGCTTTTGCCGTTGTACCTTGAGAGACTGTAGAAAGACTTGAAATTTTCTCTTGCAAATACGATAGTTGTTAAAACGAAGAGTTTGAGCTCGCGTCTATGAATAGAATTCGGGAGGAAATGGACATGTCACGTGATGGGACCGAATCGCTTAGTTTTTCAGCAGATAATTGAAGCGAAAGAAAGACAGTCTCTTCCTTTTTCTCGGGCTCGCTCGTAAACAAAGGGTGCCGGCCCCTACTCATTAATTCTACAAGGTTGCCCGGATAAAATCCGGACGGGGCCCATTCGACAAAGTGCGCGTATCCCCGATCTCCGCTTTCAATAACAAAGTCAGCTGTGTAATCCAAGATGCTGCGCGATCGTGTCACGCGACCGGACCTCCTTGGTCGAGGGACGTCCGGGCCCGTCAAGAAGCGTCAAACTTCTAGTATCTGCACACGAGCGGATTAGCCCGCGACAAACAACGTGTCGATTTCCGAGAACGAACGATGGGAGCTCGCGCGTCGATGCTCGACATTGTTTCGCGGCGGAATCTCGCCTGTAAATCTTCCGCCGCTCTTCTCTGTTTTGCGAAATACGAGACGAAGCTATAAATACGCGAACAAAATTAATGTGCGGTCAAATTCTTCCTCGATTAGGATAATAATCTTCGACAAAGATTGAATCTCTCTCTCCCGATCCGTATGATCATCGATAACAATCGCGCATTCGAATTATTCTCTCGTGTCGAGGCGGTGCGTTTCGCATAATACGTTGGGAGCATATCAAGTGGCGGAGGCTACTACTTCAACGTA